CTACACACACCACAAGCCCTTACAAATTTCCCGCAATCATGCAACCGATTACGTCATAATAGGGTTTCCAAAACATTCAAGTACTCAGGCTACCATAAATGAAACAACAACTTAGCGATAAATGAAATGACTTTGCGATAATACAAGGGGTGCCACTCTATCTGCTATAGTCCTTTGCGACGAATCCCACTTCCAACTGTGTCGGGACGATCATTGAAGACTTATCTGGAGACACCCAGAGCAGCATGCGGAACCTACTTTCACTTTTTTTGTCATTACAGGCACACTTACAGCACACCGGTACGTCGACGACATTCTGAGACCTGTTTTGCTACCGTTCCTTTTGCAGTACCTTGGCCTTATTTTTCAGCAAGATAATGCCAGACCACATACGCACGTGTTGCTATGAGCTATCTTACAGTTTGTCAAACACTTCCTTGGCCAGCCAGATATCCCATTGAGCATGTCTGGGATATGATGGGAAGGCGACTGTTTCTACCATGGAATGTTGATGACCTATTGCGACAATTGGAGCAAATTTGGGAAGAAATATCGCAAGAGACCGTCAGGGAGCTTTATCAGTCTATGCCACGTCGGGTGGCAGCTTGCATGCAGGCTAGAGGTGGGTCAACATCTTATTAAGCTCGTTACTTTGTAACTATGTAACTCTGAAATAAATTGTTCAATTGTTCTGAAATTTTAATCATTTTCTATTCTGTACATAATCTTCATTTCCACGAATGTTCGTCTCCATCGGACAACGCATTTTTGGTGTTTCTTTTTATTATTATTATTATTATTATTTTAATTTTGTGTTATAGTGTGTAGTTTTGGTTTGATTTCTGTATTAAATTTCAAATAATGTATCTTGCAAAAGGAATTTCAGACCATTAAATGTAGCTCCATTTTTTTTTTTTTAAACTGCTTTATAATGGTAATAAAAGGTGAAAGGACATGTGTTAACGCCTTAATGCCACCGAAAAAAAATTAAGGTTTAATGTTTTTTAAAAATCCAACGATTAATAAAAACTTTACTACAAAAATTTACAATTTACAACAAAAATTTGAAAATATTTTATTTAGAGTTAATTTAATTGAACTGATAGTACCGAACTCATTTCTAGAAAACTTTTAAACAACTTTTCTTAATCGTAATCAAATGCTTAGTTTAGTAGAAGGTATTAAAATCAATAGTCAAAAGTGAAATGTGTTTAACACGCTTGACCATTTTTTTATTAGCATGCACAATTTAATTCAAGCGGACCCCATAGCAGTTTAATAATAATTTGATTATCATTGTAAGCTTTATTGATAATACAATTTATTACAATTTGTTTTAAAGGATTATTAAAACATTTAAATAGGCAGAAAATATGTAATTTTTCTTAGTATTATTAGAGAATCGAAACAAATAAATAATTTCATAGCTGATAAATTTAAAAAAATTTCTCAGATCTGATAATCAGTGGTTGAAATGTTTAAATATTTAATGAATGATACATTAAATGAAACCGATGGTAAAGCAGGTAAACAAAATGGTGAAATAATTATGTTCTAAAATGGTCACAAGAGGAGTCATTAAAATTTTTGCTGCAATTAAATATAAGTAACATTATTAGAGTGTTGAAATGCTCAAGACTCAAACTTAGAAAAATGAATTATATATTAAAGGAAAGATTTATGCTGTAATACTGGTATTGGTCCTATAATTCCTTTTGATGCACTTCCGTAGTCGAAAGCCATCATAGAAGTTCAATATTCACCAGAAACTATACACATCTTCAGGATGTTTGCATACAAACACTGAACGACTGGCGGGAGTGTGAACTGTGTTGTCGGTGTCTCTTAAGATGTTTACTATTAATTCTGGCTTCTCGCCAGCAACGTTTATTGTGGTGTCGTGCTCTGCTTGATGGAATGTAGCAGACTAGAGTCGTAACGTGTTCAGCAATGAATCTTTCAGCCTGTTTAGTTTAAAATGGGGGGACAAGCATGTCTGTTTTCCGGGGACCATTATATGAATCGAGGTCGGCTTTCCAGCAGGCTCTTGGCTGAGTGATTTGAGGAAAGTGAAGCCTGCATCGATGGGTGCACGGCGTTCGTCCATACCTGAGGGCTTTGTTTGACATGCCTCAACAAGTGCCAGTCTCGAAGCCACTTGTAATGTAGAGAGTACGTGCGCCCTGTCGATACAGAGGTTAGTAATGCTGACTGTCCTACCGACGAGACCGAGTTTGAATCTCGGATAAAACATGGATGTTTGTAAGATCCTAGTGTCAGTGCGGCAAGGGAAAACTCAAAATACGCAGATGTCCAAAAGTCCTGTCAAGAGGTCGGTAGCAAGGGGAGAAGGTCAAAGACTCTCATACCGTCTCCTCGATTGTTCTCGCTCAAAACTGGGGCTTGAGTTTAACAGTTAGCTAGGTACAACAATATCTGAATCACCTATGGTACTACAAAAATGCTGGCCTAACTTATATTAACATATCTTCTCCACATGAGGTATAGTGGCCAGTGACACACATGATGGACTCGGGTTGGAATCTCAGAGAAGGCATGGATGCTGTAAGTGCCATACCTGATGGATGCTGGCATGGATGCTGTAAGTGCCATACCTGATGGATGCTGTAAGTGCCTGTAAGTGTCTGTGTGGCAAGGAGCCTCTCAAAATACACTGCAAGCCGAAAGTCCTCTCAAATGGTTGAGTGGCAAAGAGGAGTGGGAGACCTTCGGACCGCCGTTCGGGGTGTCCTCTATCCAAATTGAGTCGGAACGACGATACCTTATATATATAGGGAAAATCCTGGTATTATAATACCTGGTAATTATATATAGAGAGAAAACATTTGACATTCGAGTTTTCGGTTTTTTATGAATTTTAGTATCTTAAATGAAAATTTAATAGATTCCTTTTTCGGTTTTTGATCTCAGATGAACCAGGAGAATGAAACACGTTTTCGAAACATATTGCTCGACTTTTGTGAAGCTTAAATTCATTTTCCCTTGATGAGTTCTGAATTGGAGTTTCAGTAAAAGGAGATTAATTATTATTTTTATATTTTTTTACCTTGTATTTTTTCCATTTCCATTTTTATTATTATAGTTTAATTTTCTATTCCATTTTTATTATTATAGTTATCAGTTAAATGATTTAGAGTGAGTATTTAACGCCTGCCCTTTTAAGAAAATGGCCAATAAATCGATTAGGTATTAGATTATTTTTGAGAATTTTAATAAGGAGCATAGTCTCGCGTTGTAGATCTATCGTATATCTGTGCAAATATTTTTAATACGTTGTATTTGATTTAAGATACTATTACTAATAACTTTTCTGGAGATGTTGAAAGTCCAATTTATTAATTTGTTAGTACTGAAAGTGAAGTTTCTTGTTTTGTCAAACGTAAAATTTTTTTGTAGTTAATTATTTGAAGATCGAGATAATCGACCGGCCTTGCTTCAACGTGTACATGTCTCTCCCATATCCTTGACAATTTTAACCATTTAATCATAATCTAGAGCTAATAACTTGGATTTTCCCGCCTTACAGAGTGTAATACTAAAAATTTTAAATATAAACTTCTAAAAATACCTCTACCCCTGATAAAAAGGTCATATACCATACCTGCTTATTAAACTATATACAATTTTAAGGGAAAAGCTAAGTTAAAGATCTTATGCCGTGTGGCATTGAAATATTAATGAGATTTGGCAAATTACTAGGTAGCGTAGACGATATATTAAAATTCTTAGACTGTTTGTAATAGTCTAAGAACACTTCACAGTACTGGTATAAGGTACTTCTCCCACCTTCTTAGCATGCCTTCCTGGTGTAATGGTCAGCACGCTCGGCGCGTACTCGAGAGGTTCAAGTCCCGGCGAGGGCATTGTTCATTTTTCATCTCTCCTGCTTTCAAAAAATACCTTATGTCTCTACATTGGCAATTTGCCTAGCTGCAAGGAAGGTGAATGTTCTGGCAGCGTAATGATACTTAAAGTGACTCGCAAAAAGAAAGACTTTAGACGTTTCTATTAACAAACTTACGTACATGCTGCATGATTTATTGCACGAGCTGGAAGAATTGCATGGCGAAACTTATTTTGCAGTTATCAACAGGGCACCAAAATTACTTCTCAGTATATGAGTTGAAATATTTTTTAGACATTTACGTGCTAGCAGCATACTAAAGTACATTAGATAAGTAAAACGTAACGTTTCTGAGTTTCTGTATCCGAAAGGATGCATATATCGCTCATAAATTATAAAGCGCCCAAAATACGTGATCATTTGTTTAATAAATGACTACTAGAAACAGTATTACGATACAATTACGAGAATATTGTGTACGAGGAAGTGCCGTAAAATGAACAGCAGTAATTATAAAATGACACTTACTCAGAAACCAATTTAATGAAAGAAAAATAAGAGAAAGATCACAAAAGAACTATCGGAAATCCTAATTTACAATTTCAGAAAATTATATATTTGAAAACAGCTATGGATAATATGAGCTCAAAATGTCTTAAATTTCATCCTCCCATAATAATTTACTATGTTCATAATTTTTAATCTTTTTTTAAATCTTTATAAATTTAAAAATTAATTAGAATAAACACAAAGGAATAATGTAAAGACAAAATAAGAAAAATGTGATCCCTAACCTCTAATCCACAAGTACTAAAAGACCCTCCACTGCTTCATGTGATGAGTTATTTGTAATATGTTTTCTAAATACAGGAACGAAAGTTAATAACTGCCAGTATAAAAGTTTATAGATCGGAATATGCAGGTAGCTTAATTATCTACCCCTCAATTGCTTAGCTATGTACTCGCTTCATAAATACAGTTATTATTTTAATGAATCTTCTGATAAGTATAATGTAGAAAAGTCGTGTAAAAGATATATTTATAATTTTTATCAACTTCATGCAAATATTAATATTTCAAAGTTTGAATGAGATATAAATATATACAAAACTTTAAAAAGTGCAAGCAAACTTACTCATTTCTCCAGTCTAAAAGTGACAAAGGAATGGAGACCGCTGCTTGACACACCAAATATTTACTTGTTAACCATGAAAAATTCAACATATTAGGAGAAGAGATCAATTTCGAAATAATAGTTTTGACAAAAATATATCACGGAAGGATATTACTACATCCTCTCGACCACATTCTAGCGCAGGGTCAATTTAGAACGCGCATCCGGTTTCCTTGAGGCAGGATATGAAATCATTTATTCCTCGAAGGCTCAGATTTTGAATTCTAACTCTGAGCATTTCTGAAATCCATTAGGCCAGCAAAATGCATTCTAATTTAATCTAAGAATTTTAAAGTCATCATATTGGTACTGAATGCCAATCAGTTCCAAGAAAATATCTTACAGTTCTGCTCCTAGGACAATATGCCAGTCTCTTTGTCGTAACAAAATTGATTACTAGCCATTCCTAGTTCAGAAATGGTAATCATTAGTCACATTAATTGCTTGGTTAGAGTAAACAAGTTAATTATGTTACCATGTTCAACTGCATGATTAACTGCGAAAAACTGAATTTGAAACAAAACCAGTAACTTTGTCCGTCAAGCTTTATTCGCTTATATCAAACTGTGCTTTCTAAACAGAAAGTTATTAAATTGCTTGCGAATATCTAAAATATATCTTTGAGATGTTTGCATAAATGAGCTATATTAGTTATGTAAGTCTGCTTCTGAATAACTCTTATTTTACTTTGGTTAACCAATAGTACCTCATTTCAGTTTTGGATAATTTGCAGTTGCCCTCTTCCTAACTAGAACCGAAACAAGCGGATTTAAAAATTTAAAAAAAAAAATCAGCCTTAGATTGGAATAGACTCAATTAACGAATTAACGAAACTCAATTAACGAAACTCAATCTATTTGAGAGAGGTCTCTGACAAACATTCCTTTTCTTCAGTTGCAAAGAAAGGGATCTATGTCCGATCACCCTCAAATTTCATAGAATTTTATTCAAGATCTACGTTAATCTAAGTTCAACTTTTGGGCCTAATTTTAATGTACACGTTCTTTTTCGTTAATTTTCTCCGCACCAGTAGCCGAGCGGTTAAAGACTGGTAAATGGTTAAATACTGGTAGTTCGTCCTACGTCCGATTCCCGGGCTGGCGGCTTATCTCTCTCTCGTGGCTCGTGAATGCATGGAATCCTTCTTTCGGCTCTTTTACATGTGTAATGTGAATACGAGCCAGATTCTCCCAGAAATTCTCCACGAAGACATCCATTCTCTTCGGCCCTTATGTGGTTTGCCTGATTCAAATAACCAATCAATTCTTTAATTTTCTAATGAAAAATTAATTTTATGATATTATAGAGACATCAGGTTATTTCGAAGCAGGAGACATGAAAAATGAGCAATGCACTCGCCGGGACTCGAACCTCTCGAATACGCGCCGAGTGTGCTGACCACTACACCACGAAGGCATGCTAAGAAGGCGGAAGAAATATCTTATGCACTCCCCTTTTCAAAGGGCATTATTTCTCAGTCGTATGCACAGCTGTATCTCTCTTATTTTTTATACCTGGTGAGAATAATTTCTTCGAATCATCCAAAGCTGTATTCTACGCTATTATTTTAAGACATGGAGAAGTTTCACACTGTTAGCAGCTCATATGAGCGTAACCCTGTCCCGTGTTCTAATTCCTATAGCTCGAAGATAAGTAACTAGGATATCAATACAAATTTTACAAATGAAAACCATCTCTAAGTTTCAAATGGACGTTACAATTTAGTATCAGCGTAATGCGATTTCGTATGTGGAATTTTTGTATACTAGTTGCAAAACGGATTATTTTGAACACTACATAAATTACTGAAGGCAGGTGAAATTTTTGTAAAGGCTGTCAAAGCAAATTTGAAAATTACGCATAAATTATACTAAGACTTTCCTCCCGTATATTTAGTTAGAAGATTATTTAAGTCGTGGAAAACATTTTGCAGGGCTAAAAATGTAAAAGAAAGAATGTCCCAACAAAAAAGGCGTTTTCTAAGTACTTTAAACTAATCCAGCGTGCACTGTTTTGTGTTCAGCCATTTCTTTGCGTAATTTGTTAGCATTATTTTAACACTGGGCCATATGACTATATCTAACTGCTGAAATACATTCATTTTACGTTGATACTTGCCTAATGATCACGCATAGATGAAGAGGACATAATAGTATAATATATTGTTACAATAATATATAACAGAAGGTAATATTTATAAATTCAGCTTTGTCAGTAAAATTCAGGTTAGGTTAGGTTATTTAATTACGGCAAAGCCTCGAGGGCTATCTGCCTAAGGGGAGGGATGTCTTCGTGGAGGACTTCTACGGGAAACTGGCTCGTATACACGTTACACATGGGGAAAACCACGAAAACACCCATGTAGCCAGCTCGTTCGCTGGATTCGAACCTCGTACCGAACTACCAGTGTTCAGCGACTTTACCGCTCGGCCGCTGGTGGGCCAGTAAAATTGAAAAACATCGGGAAGATTTCCGTGACTTTCCACCCTCCCTTTTTTAATTTAATTCTTCATTAGGTTTCTTTACAAAATCATTCTTTTCTTAAAAGTGGAAGATTAAAAAAAACCTTTATAACAAACAATACTCAAAAGGTTGTATAAATATGCAATTTATCTGAGAATAAATTAATTAACTTAAGTCTTTCTCAGATTATAAATAGCCGAAAGCTCTGCCAAGTTGCTGGGAGATCGATTTTATTTTGTTGCAAGAAATCACCCCGAAGGTTTTAAAGTAATTAACAAGGAAACAAAAGAATTAAAAATTGAAAATTTTCTATTCAAGCTAAAGTGACAAGAAATCATTTATAAATCGATGATCTTTTGATTTTCAGCTTTGTTAACTTTTTATGACAGTGGGTCAATTTTAAATATTCGGCATTAGAATTTGGTCTGACTGCAGTTTGAATTTAATCTTCAGATCATAGAAATCCTTAATAATCAAGCACTGAATTTCACATTTAATTTAAAGTAGTAAGGCAAGGTGAGGAAAAAAAATTTGTTTAGTTTGGTAATGTATATTAATAACGTCAATTTATATTATTTTAATAATTCTTTTAAAAATCATAAATAGACAGGTATATACAATATTCGCATTCTAAAGAAAAAGTTATAAATGAAACTAAAACCTAATTTTAATTTTAAAATGAAGCATCATTAAATAAATATATCAATAAAATCAATCAATAATTATGTATAAAAATATAGTGTATGCATATATATATATAGTATAATATAATTGAAATAGAAATTGTAAAGCTAACTAGTATACAGACGCGAGACCTATTTGGACGCAAGACTTACGCAAGACCTAGACGCAAGACCTACGCAAGACCATAAAATGCAAAAATTATAATGAAAACATAAATTGCAAAAATACAAAAATACAATAATTACAAAGCGGAAAATGGTAAATTAACCCACTCGTACCCTCTGACAGGCTTTTCAAGGGGAAAATGACTGATTGTACGAGCTAGGCCAAATACGCGTTTCGCCGAAACAGACCATTGAAGCTCTTGTTGTATGTTGTAATTTTTTGACTAATAGCAGACCGCTATTTATTTTATTTTGATTTTAATATTACATTGCTCGGAGTTGCAATTACATTCTTCAGCGGACGCGTCGGGAAAAAGGAACAGAGCAGTGAAGCTCTTTTGGAGATTATTCGGGACTTTTCATGTTTTAATGAAAACAAGATTGCAAGATTGCAAGATTTATTCGGGACTTTGACAAGATGTTGCAAGATTTATTCGGGACTTTTCATGTTTTATAAAAAAATTTTTTCGCAAACAAGAGCTTCAATGGTCTGTTTCGGCGAAACGCGTAAATGGTATTTGGCCTAGCTCGTACAATCAGTCATTTTTCCCTTGAAAAGCCTGTCAGAGGGTACGAGTGGGTTAATTTACCATTTTCCGCTTTGTAATTATTGTATTTTTGTATTTTTGCAATTTATGTTTTCATTATAATTTTTACATTTTATGTTTTGGTATATTTTTTTCCGTCAATCTATTATTTATGTGTATTAACTTTTCATATATATTTTTTCCGTCAACCAATTTTTTCCGTCAATCTATTTTTTATATGTATTGACTTTTCACATATCACAACGGTCAGATATTTTTTAGTGCATTCGGATGTCTTCCAACATTAATTTTAACGTTTTTTCGCGTGTTTACAATTTTTTCCAGTTTTTCCAGATTAGTTTTTTTATAAAATTCTTCTTAGTTCATATTTTAGTAATACAGCGTTGAACTATTTTGTGGAGCTACAGCTCCTGGTAACTTTTTAGCAAGATCGTTGCAATGTTTCTACCTACTATTATTTCGTATAGTATAATATATATATATATATATAATATATAAATGGCAGTAACATTTACTTACATATATAGACATTAAATATAATTAGTTAAAAAAAAGTTTTCAAATTCTTTCACTGTTTACTCGTGAATTAAAACTACATAGTTCAATCAAATGTATTCAGAATAACTTTTCGTTTGCTTATTTACAGGTGCTCATGTGTATAGATGGATTTTTTTTTTTTTTTTTTTTCAGAAATATTTATGCCTATCCATAAAGCATTTCAAAAGCGTGGGTAAAGTAGATAGGATATGCACTATCAATTTCAGCAAAATAGGAGCATCTTTATTGCCTTTTTAACATACATTATAGTTTTTCTTCATAAATATTTTGCTTAACGCAAAAAATTATCTTAAATTTAAGTTTTCGTATAACTGTAAAACTCAGTTATTTTGCCGGTGCTATTAAATCTTCCGTACAGATTCTATGATAAATACGTTGTGTGTGATATGCTACATAGGAATGTATTGTATTGTATGTATTGTAAGTGTGATTATGGCAAAGCCTCGAGGGTTATCTGCCTAAGGGGAGGGATGCCTTCGTAAGGGACTTTCTAAGGGAAACTGGCTCGTATACACGTTACACATGGGGAAAACCACGAAAACGCCCATGCAGACAGCCCGTTCGTAGGGAACCTCGGACCGAGCTACCAGTGTTCAGCGACTTTACCGCTCGGCCGCTGGTGGGCCTCTGCTATATAGGAAAAGATTTCACGTAGATGAAGAATGAACTACAGAAAGCATTTCATGTGCTTCT